TGCACCAATTAATTGGAGTTATGTTTTTGCAAATGCTAATTTTACGAAAAATAAAACTGTTTATTTAACAGTGATATTTACTTCAATATTTTATATAATTTTAATGATTTATGCACGATTTGAAGATAAGAAAGATTTTGAGAAAGTAAAATAAAACAATGTTTCATATATTTCATAAAATCAAAATTTGTGACTTATTTTAGTTGGGAGTAACACCATTAGTTGATAATAATAAATCTGATCAATATTATTATCAAATTCTTGTTTTTACTGGTCAAAGAACAAATGCTGGAACAGATTCAAAAGTAGTATAATACAAAGAAAATATCTTAATAAAACTTTTTTCTTTCTGAAAGGTTTATTTTGTTTTATCGGGTGATGATGATCAAACACAAATTCGATTATTTTCTGATCCTCATCGGAAAATTTTTCAACGTGGTGGAATTGATTCGTTTATTATTGCTGTTCCAAAGTAAAATTATCATTCTCTTAAAATTTTTTATAAAATATTAGTATTTAGATCGTTAGGATTATTAAATTATATTCGTATTTGGCATGATAATACAGGTGAAGGTTCTTCAGCATCATGGTATTTAAAATATATTATTGTTCGAGATTTACAAACGATGGATAAATCTTATTTTATTTGTCAACAATGGTTTGCAGTTGAAAAAGATGATGGACGAGTAAGTCATGTGATAGAAAACATACTATTTTTTATTTTTGACTTTAATTTAGATCGAACGTATTTTACCAATTGCTAGTGAAGCAGAGAAACAAAAATTTTCATATGTATTATCAAAAAAAGCTTATCATAGTGTGTCCGATGGTCATTTATGGTTTTCAATATTTTCTCGTCCGCCATCAAATAAATTTACACGTGTTCAACGATGTACTTGTTGTTTTGTTTTACTTTTTACTTCAATGTTAATTAATATAATGTATTATGATTTATCAAAAGAAGCAAAAGCATCAAGTAAAACACATAGTGGTGCTTCATCAATTGGTCCTTTTTATATAGCACCTCAACAGGTATATATTGATTTTTATAACAAAAAATTGAAAATTCCGGAGTTATATATATTTAAGATTGGAATTGGTATAATGGTCGAATTATTATCATTAATTCCAAGTCTTTTTATTGTTCAAGTCTTTCGGCGTATTCGACCTCGTCAACAAGTTTCACGATTACGTGAAGCATTATATAAGATAAAACCATCACAACAAACGTTCGTATATTTTTCTTGTGAGGGTAATTAATAATCGTCTTCGCATTCTTAATTGTTGTAGTTCGGAAAATGCTCCTGTAAATAAGAAGAAAAAATCTTCAATAATAACATTTCCTTGGTGGTGTTTATTTATTGCTTATGGTCTTTCAATGATAATTATTGTTATTTCAATATTTTTTATTATTGTTCGAGGAATTGAATTTGGTGATGTCAAAACTCAACAATGGTTAACATCTGTTCTTACTGGCTTTTTCTCATCAGTTATTCTTACTCAACCTATTAAAGTATACTTTCTGATTTCTTTTAATTTATATTTTTGAAATATTTTCTCATTGAAGATTGTATGTTTGGCTATATTCTTTATATGTTTTTGTCGAAATTCAAATAATGATAAAGAAACAAGTGAATATATAAATGATGATGATGAATTTAATTTAGGCAATGATGAAGATTATCTTCAATCACCGGAGGTTTGTTTTCTTTAAGTATTTTATAGAAAAAATAATTTTTCCGTATAGTTTCACTCGTTATTTTCTTCTCCATCTTTAAAAAGTATAAATCGTCTCAATGAAAATGAAATTGCTTATGCTCGTGATCAACGTTTAAAACAAATTGAAATGTTGACAATTATTCGAGAATTTCTGATTACTTTGATATTTGCAATATTAATTTTTGTCATCACTTATTCAAATCGTGAACAACATAGTTTTTTTCAAGTCAATCATTTACAAGCTTATTTTCTCAATCAAAGACAAACAACTGTTGATTATACTAAAGTTTGTTCTTCTTTTCTTGCATTAAAATGAATTTTGTTTTTTTCTAGATCAATACAATCGATCAATATTGGTATTGGTTAGAAAATAGTTTTGTTTCAAATATTCGTGCACAACAATGGTATAATGGAGATATTCCACAATATTTAAATGGATTTCTAAATGATAAATCTAACCGATTAATTGGTGGGCCAACAATGAGACAATTACGTGTTAAATCAGAATTATGCTCCGATCAACGTATTATTTCAATATGTGAAGATAGTTACAGTTTTTTTAATGAAGAAACAGAATTATTTCAACCAAGATGGACAACAAATGCAACGACTGACGAATTCAGTTCATCGGTGATAAAAGCATTTAACTATTCTACAAATGATGAATTAGATACATATAATTATGTAGATGAATATGGAACATATAGAGGAGGTGGTTATGTATATGAATTTCGTGGTAGTTTATCTGATATGAAAACAAATTTATCTGCACTTCATCAATTAGATTGGATTGATGGGAAAACAAGAGCTGTTTTTATTCAATTAACATTATATAATCCAAGTGTTCAATTATTAACTGCAGTTACTTTACTTGCTGAATTTCTACCAACAGGTGGTATTTATACAACAGCTCGTTTTGAACCAATTAATTTATACAGTAATTTACTCTATATTTTTTATTTCTAAAGATAAAGAAATTTTTGTTTTTTTAATTTAGCATTTACATCAATATTACAATTAGTTTGTACGATTCTTTATATATTTTTTATTATTTATTTTATGGTAATTGAAATTCGATTAGTATTTAAATTAGGATTAGAATATTTTCATCAATTCTGGTTGTTAATTCAATTAGGTATCATTGGTTGTTCATTAGGAAGTATTGGAGTTTATTTTTGGCGTTTTCAAGAAGCGAATCGTATAAGTGAATTATTTGAACAAACAAATGGTTATATTTATATAAACTTACAACTAGCAGTTTATGTTAATGATATATTAACATTTCTTCTTGGTTACTGTTGTTTTTTTAGTATGATTAAATTTGTTCAATTATTTCGATTTAATCAACGAGTATCTTTATTTGCTGAAACATTAAAATATTGTGCAAAGGCACTGATTTCATTTTCAATGATGTTTGCAATTGTATTTATGGCATTTCTTAGTTTATTTTATTTATTATTTATATCAAAACTTTCGTCATGTTCAAGTTTAATATCAACTGCTCAAATGCTTTTTGAAATGACATTAATGAAATTTGATGCATCACAAATAATGGGAGCTGATGCTTTTCTTGGTCCATTCTGTTTTGCTTTATTTATGTTTCTAGTTGTTTTTGTTTGCTTAAGTATGTTTCTTTCAATAATTAATGATAGTTTTCGTCATGCGAAAGGCAATCAAAAAGAAGATCAACTTATATTCTCATTTATGCTAAAGAAATTTTTAAGATGGACAGGTATGTAGACTTTAGAGCTTCTCTTGTGTGCCATTCATTTTCATAATTTCTTCTTAAATGATAAGCGGATGCACTGAGTTGTCTATTAATATTTTAGGTCTGAAAAAATTAAATCAATTAGAAATTCAAGAAGAACGAGATTGTCGAATGCGTTCACAATATTTTGATCCAATTGAAAATCTTCCTGATAGAATGGATCAATTACTAGAAGCACTCAATAGAGTATGTGAATATCTATTTTATCTTTTAATTGAAATTATTTTCTGTTGTTTTTAGATTTATATTGATCAAAAAAAAGAATTAGCAAGGCTGAACAAAGCTGGACGCTAAATATTTCTTTCGCAAATTACTTATATTTTCTTATAATAGACTCTAAATAGATTTTCAATCTTTTTTTTCGAAATACATCCTTGAAATTAATCATATGTTTTACTTCGGTAATATAGAATTACACGGTTTTCGTTCTTGAAGACATCATCTTATTGGTGAGTGTAGATGGATGAAAAGAGCAAAAAGAAGGGTGGGGTGGGTGTGTTACAAGTGCAACACCCACTCATACTCAAATCCAATCCACACCCTCAAGATGGTATCGGTTTATGTTCATAACTTAAGATACATGAAAGCATCAAACCATAACTTTCCTTGTTTATTTTTATTCGGGAGTGTTTCAAAAAACATGTTTTTACTCATTAATTTTTCGATGATGTTTTCACACGTAATAGGATTCATTGAGAAATACATAAATACAGCAGATTGATCCAGTCTTTTCTTTTCATTTTATTATCACATATAACAAATGTCTTTTGCTTTTGTAATTATATTCTTAATTCTGGTAAATTATAAATTTAAATATTTTCAGTCAGTTATAAAACTATTTCTACCACACTTTGAGACTATGAGTTATGCATATTACGAGTTTTTATATAAAAAATCTCAAAGAAAAAAATTTATTCATCAAGTCTAGACTATCCTTTTTCTTTTTTCTGTAGACCTTTGTAATGGATATGATCAGATAATTTCACAGTTTACTGTCAAAATATATGTTTCACTATTTTGAAGAATTAATTAAGAAGCATGATTTTGTATCGTATGTAGACAAACGAAGAAGTCTCCGGTATTTAAGTCAATAGTATAAATTTTCTTCTTTCGTCGTCTCCATCAATCTTCATTTATCAGTATTTATACATTTTTGTTATTCTGGATCAAATTTAACGTTCAGCAAACTGAAAGAAACAAGAAACTGTTTTTCTAAATATTGTTGTGTCTGTAATGAATACTTACTTATTCATTTCTTTTATTTTTTTTTTGTGAAATCTGATTTTGAAAATATCATACATTGCAGCGCTTGTCGTGACTTTAACGAAATTATTTAGATAGGATATCTTTCACTGGAAAAATCAGAGCACTGATGCATGATATATAACTAAAACTGTTACTTAATATGTTGTTAAATAAGAGAGAAAGATTAGTTGAGAGCAGCATTTGTGTTTTCTTTATATTCGAACGTATTACAATATTATACCGTTCATTTTGAAATCGGATTGAGACAATGGTAGATTTAAAAAAAAGAGCCTTTTGGCATTTTACATTTAAAGACATATTAGCTATTATATGCTCAGCTGCCATACCCATAGCTCTTGCTACTTATACTGCAATTGGGTCTCATCAACAAAAACAAGAAGCTGAAAAAACACGACAGTTTGATTTGGAACAATCAAGAGAATTAAGACAACAAACACTTTATGATGAATTCATAAATAACATTTTTAAATTGGATAATTATGGTTATCTGAAGGAGAGAAAAAATCCATGGGCATTTGCCAATGCATATTATCGTGCTGCTCATCGCCAATGGGATACAATACGGAAAGCAGATGTTTTACAATTTCTTAAAGAAAAACATTTAATTGGTAGAAATAATTGTACTGATGGATGTAAAACAACAGAATTAGACGATATAATTCGTTTGAATAAGTTAAACTTTGATAATGCATATCTAGCAAGTGAAACTGGTGTCTTACATCAACTGGATTTAGAATGTGTTGCTTTTGATCAGATATCAATGTCAAATGCAGTATTTTCCTCTGTTAATTTAAATGGTGTATCATTTGATGGAGCACAGTTAGATAAGGTGAAATTTAATAGTTCATCTTTACTTTGTGCTAGTTTTAATGGTGTAAATTTGTCGGGAGCAGATTTTGGAAACTCAGATCTGACAGGTGCAAAGTTTTTAAACAGTGATTTGTCAGGAGCTAAAATAACGGAAGATCAAATAAACCAGGCATCGTTTGATAATGTAATTATGCCAACCGGAGAAAAGAGTGAAATTA